CACAGGGTGTTCTTCGCTGGCTAAGCTTCTCAAGCGAGACAAGAATCCATTTGCTGCCTCAATGCTTGAGTGTTCTGGAAGGTTAAGTGGGAAGATAGGGGAAGACGGGGGAGTATAGTTGCCTATGTATTCTATAACTGCGGTGGTAGCATTACTGATGTCCGGATGAGGCTCGGTAACATATTGTCTAGCAGCCATGTAATAGTGACCAAGCGGCTGATTTGAAGTGAGTAGGACATTTATGGTTTGTCCTGGGGATATTGCTACATTTGGAGTAGCTATGGGCTTGAGGTAGCTCCCGTCCATTCCAACAACTGTGACATTGTGTTCAGCAACCGCAAAGAAAAGTTCAGAGTCCACAGCTGCGTTGATTATGCGGAGAAGATAGGTTTTTCCATAATCAACACTTATCCTATGTATTGTTTCCTCTGCACAATATTAAGGGTGATCAATATATGATATTCAAAGTATCTTCCACATGTTGTCTATGTGACTTTTCTTTCTAGTGTTTGGGCCAAGAATGATTGAAATTATGTAAAATGCTTCAACCTATAATTACACTCAGTCAAAGTATCACCAATGGACATTTTAATTCTAAAAGTGATGTTGGCATGTAATTCCCAACAAAATTAAAGAACACGCATCTTGCTTGCTATGAACCATTCAGTAAATGCAAAAACATGTGGAAGGAAGGTAGCTGTAAAATCAGCCACTTTTTCCAGCATGGAGATCCCATTTACAGTTTATCTCCTTCAAGATTGCCATTTCCTTTTAGGAAGGTAATTTTAACATTGAATTCCTCAGCACGGATTAGGGACAGTTCGGGAATGGAAGAGGAATTAATTTCATCTTCTTGGTCACATTATAAATATGTTACAAGAGACTAATAGATTTAACAACCTCCTTTAAATTGTAACATATTTTTGAAACCTTATTTGGTAAAATGTAAAGAACCAATGGTTGCTCATGATTAGGCAATGAAACTATGATTTCTTATATATGGGATGGGAAGATTACTACACATATTCAGAGATTAGTCAGGACAAAGCCCTGGAGACCCTTGTGAGCAAAAAAAATTAACTATTTATTCTAGCGAGACACACAAATACTCACAACATACCGCTAGAACAATTAAAAAAAGCTCCTTGTTGGCCATTGATGACATAGGCTTCCGCCTTTGGTAAATATGCACCTGACAACAGATCAAAATCAACCACTTTGTTCACATCAAAAGTAAACCAAGATCCTGCAAGTAAAAACACAGAAAGTAAGATGATAGGTTGGCGCAAAAAATAATGTTGAGTAAAGGAAAAAATAAGCATAAAGATTTTGATACTACTTAATCCAGCAAATTCATATGATATGATTGGCATAAAGTTCACTAACTTTATGGTTCAATTTCATCGGGCAACATCATCTATATATGAGGTTAGCTACTAGCGATGCCAACGTTGTGTTCTGTCATTTGTTCTAGTATATAGATTCAAAGTTAAAGCAAAATGATGTGGTTTTGAGGTATTTAGTTCTTTTTCCCTTTAAATTATTGCCATTTTGTTTCAGCCTTAAAGTTGGGCTGCTGAATTATGTCGTTCGTTGACTTTTCTTTCCATGATAAAAACCATAACAAAATCATGGTAGAGGATCTTTTCTCATCAAAACCACAGCTAGTAAAAAATCTAGTTGGAACGCAGAAATAAAATCACGCAAGAAATATTCCCCCTAAAGATTAAAAACAATCTCATCTCTTTCTATGGATACATATGTACGCTCCGGATGAGTTCTGGTTAGTGGGTAGGTGAGAATTCATGCTCACCCAAAATCGATTTGCCACGGCCAAGTGTGAGGTATAACTCATCTTTTTCACTATGATAGTAGCCTTAACAGCACAAGTGGAGTGAGCCTGCCAAATGATGCTTTGGCTTTATAGCTTTTTAAAAAAAGCCCAACAGCTAGTTTAAAGCCTAGTGCCAAATGAAGATTAGTCTTTAACCAACATTGGACTTCCTCAACTCTCTCCGCAACAAAAATCAAGCTCTCTCATTGGATTACTACAACAGGACTATGGTAGGTAAAATTATGACACAGGATCCTGATTCAATTTTGACACATGACTGCTTGCTTGTAAGCTAATGTCCATGGCTTATCTCTTACAACTAAATTCCCCTTGGACAATTGTGTTATTCATTTTGCTGACTGATTAAGTGAGTTTTATTCTAGAAATTTTACAAGGAGAGAGAAAAAAAGTTCAAAATGGGAGAGATGGGAGAAAAACTGGAAGAAGAGAGGGTGAAGCGGGAGAGCCAGGGATGGGAAGGGGTCTAGCACGAAGAGGATTTGTACGAATTTGTGGGTATTATGTTTTGGTAATAAAAATGCTTGCTTGCCCACAAAATTTAATATCTAGGTTATCGTTTATTTTGTTTTTTAGCTATGTAAAAGTTTCAATAATAAGGGCACATACTCCATTTTCCTTGGGATGCCTGTTTTCTTATCTCCCTTTAAATGCTCTCATTTTTGTCAACTTCCACACAAAGATCATTTCATCGAAGATGTTTTACCCACAGAACTTTTCAATGAAAGACCTTTTACATGTAAAATAGTAACTTTTTCTTTTATTTCAAGCTTTTCTGTAGCAAATAATAGAAACTCCTCCTATTCAGTTTAAGCATTTTGTCAAACAGCTGAAAGACACTTCAATGAACAATGCAACACAAATAATGATACGTGAATTGGAGTCAATGTGTTGTAGAAAAATGGATAAATCTTTGCAATGTTAATTACGCTAGTAGTAGCATGATTAATTGCGTATATATATTTTATGATTGATTGAAAACCCAGTTCAATTTATACCAAGTACTATAACATGTTCTCCATCAGGTTCGGGGAATGGGTAAGTGGTGCCCTCTGCAGGCAAGATGACAATGGCACCATGGACAGTGCTTTGTGTCCACTCACTGTGGGCATGCCACCATAGTGTTCCTTCCTCTGTAGAAAATATGACTTTGTATGTGTAGTTTGTTCCTGGTGCAATGGCGCACTGTGTGATGAATTCCGGACCATCTGACCATGGATTTCTTGGTTGCTTGACTCCATGCCTGCAAACATAATAACAGTAGAGCTCAATTCAAACCAATACTTTCGACGCTCACATAGATGAGCCGGAATGGATAGACGAAGATCACTTGAGCATCCACTTAGACGACTTAAATTGGGATTGAGCGACTGCTGGTCCAATGTTGCCACTCTATTGCAAAACTGATGAATAATGAGATGAGATATAAGGCAAGAAATTTAGGATTTAGCAAAGTATAATTTTTATTCAGAAAAATCAATATGGTTTAGATTCATTCTACGTGTAAATCGCATCATACAAAAGTTAAAATATGAATCATACATTGTCTTGGTAAAATTCTGTTAAATAAAACATGGGTAGTTAGGCCTTCCATTTTAATCAAAAAGTCAAAAAGTTACTAAATTAGTCAAAAAGCCAACAATTCATACCAAAAAGTCAAAGATTCTCTTTTCTCTCTACTTTTTGCACATCTTTTCGTAAAAAGTCAAAAAGTCATCCCAAACATACTAGTTTTTTTTAACTCATATTTTAGCCAAATAGTCAAAAAGTTACTAAATTAACCTGTTCCCAAACGGGACCTTAGTTTTTTTGGAGAATTTGTAAAATAAATTAATAAAATTGAGAGTTTAACTCTCTTATAACAAATTAAATCTAAATTTTTAATTTCTTCAATTTAAATTTGAATATTTGAATTAGATGTCAATTTATCACTTGTCCATCCATGTTATATTTTTAATGGAGGAAATTTTTTTTATGTACACATGACCCTCTCACATTTGCTTTTTCAAATGAATGTTAAATCCAAAATTTAGACTTAATCACACCGAACCACCATTTATCAATCATGAATTAAATCAGGACTATCCAACTTCAGCCTACAATGCACTTGAGCACATGGTATCCAATCCTCCACTGCTCATTTCTCTCCCAACCACCAGTCTCCTCCCAATCCACTGCCACCTTCCAGCCTCCCCATTCCTTTCGTCACCGGTTTCGTCATTGAATGTTTGTCACTAAAAATCACCGTGACGAAAAATAATTTCGTCACCAATGAAATTACTTCAGTGACAAAAATTTGTGTCACCAATAAAACAATATTTTGTCGCAAAAAATTTTCATTTTCGTCACCAAATAGTTATTCAGTACCATATTTATGATTTTAGTTGACGAATAAATTTGTCACGCATGTTGATCATTGATGAGGAAAAAATTTCGTCACAATAAGATGTAAAGGTGACAATTTTTCGTCTTCAAAGTCATAATTTTTTGTCACCAATAAAAAAATCTTTTGTCGCCAAAAATTCTCATTTTCGTCACCAAATAGTTGTTCAGTACCATATTTATAACTTTAGTTGACGAATAAATTTGTCACGCATGTTGATCGAGGAAATAATTTCGTCATAATAATATGTAAAGGTGACGAAATTTTTCGTCTTCAAAAGTCATACATGGGTGACGAAATATATTTCGTCACAAATATATATATACATGACGAAATTTTTAGTCACCAAACAACAAAATAAATAAAAACTTTCATCTATAAACTGTAGTAAATTTTGTCACAAAAAAAGTTTATTAGTGACGAATAATCACTTTGTCATAATAACAAGTACAAATGACGAAAAAATTCGTCACTAAACTTGTTCCATATTTTATATTCAATTTAAATTATTATTTCACAAATATCCCTGCTCATATCCCAATAACCTTTTAATTGTACTAAGAAATCCACTAGCTATTATACACCACTCCACACAAAAATTCACTAAACCATTATATTATAAATCAAAATGTATCCATCAAACAACTTTAATAATAATCCATTATGTATAACAAAAAACTCATCAAAGCAAATCCCAAAATGAACTAACGTGGAGTCCACAAAAAAAATCAACACTCAATCTTGATTTGCAACTACAACTAAGTATCAGTTCAGGAAATAAATAAATAATTCAACACTTGATCTTGATTTGCAAATTTGCTTCCAAACGTCATCAAAAACCAATCTGCAAAGAAAATAAATAAGAAAGACATTAATATATTATTAATTACATCTAAAATCATATTTAAATAATTTTATTTTATAAACCAATTTAATAGAAATGCATATAACAATCCAAAACTTCAAAGAGATGAAGTGATCCTTAATGATAAGCAACACAGATAACAGAAGATGACAAAAGGTTGCAAGAATACCATGTATCACTAGCACTAATGCCAACAAGAACCAAAGAGAATCACATGACGTGTTCACAAACTAATCAATCCATAGTTTTTATAGGAGTTACCATTTTCATTTAAATCTAAATATGTTCCTATTTTATTTTTAACTTCAATGAGGTAAAAGGTCAAAACACACATGCAAGCAAACATAAAAACAAAAACAAAAACAAAAACAAATACACACGAATAGATACGTAAAAGATCAAAACACACATGCAAGCAAACATAAAAACAAAAACAAAAACAAAAACAAATACACACGAATAGATACTGAAATAAAAACACAATTAGACCTCCAAACAATTTGGGTTAATTATATTTTATATGGTTTTGTCCAAAAACACTTTACCGCCTTCATGTTTAAAAATATACATATAACCCTCTTGAAATTTGGAGTAAAGTGCAAACGTTGCAAATTCTGGTTAAGTTAACCATGCGTTAACACACACTAAATTGAGCGTGTGTTAAGAAATATATATAATGATACTTTTGCCCCTTTTTCAATTTGCCTTTTTCTATTCTTTTCTTCTTCATTCCCTCTCCCTCCCCCTCCTTTCTATAGCAGCAGACCCACTTGCCATTACCCTTCTCACTTCCTCCTATATTTCACATGCCACCACCAACCAATAGCCTCATGGGCCACCATGGCTATCAACCACCTCTAAAACAAAACCCAGTATCCACTTCCCCAAACACCTAGGTTGGGTGACTTAGCAAGACACAGTCCACCAGGACACCACCATGAATGGCCAAACCCAACCCTAACACCTAGTGGACAAGCACATTTCACCCTCTCATCTTTCTCTCCCTCGCAGGGAAGTAAAATTTTAAACTCATCTCCCTCTAACAACCTAAAAACAGAAAGTTTTAAACACAAGTTCTAAAGGCAACGAATCACCTTTTAAGTTTTGAACTGTGAAAACTCCAAGAAAAGAAAAACAATGAAAATGAAAATGGTGTAGAAAATTTAGGGAAAAATGCTATATAGTTGAGTACGAGACTAAGGAGAGACATTGCCATTTTTTAAGACAGCTAAGCTGAGAACAATTAAGATGTTATTAATGAAATCATTAAACCAATGATGTGCATTGATCAATCACTATAGCCAAACTTTATGTTAGGAACAAAAGCAATTACTAACAATTAACAATAGACTACTTAAATTAGTACTGAGAAAAAAAATCACTGCAAATAAATTAATCCCTCATGGCAAGAAGGGCTGTGTAGGTGTCATATGAGAGGAGGGAGAGGAATGATATGAGACAGACCATGGGACAAGAAAGGGAAGAATGGGAAGAAAACTGAAAGGAAAGAGTCCCATCTAACACTTTATTGATGACCTTGAACTATGTTTTCTGAAGAATTAAACAAAAATCAAGTTAGGTTTTCTTCAGTCAGCGTCTATAAGTCAACAGTTAACATTTAACATATGTTGTGATCTAATGTTCCCCATGACAACAAAACAATGTGCAATAAGTATATGCATTCAATAATCCAACACTCTATTATCCATTTGGAGGTATTGACATCAACTTAAATAACCAAAATGTCCAGAAGGACCCAATTGACATCAACTTAAATAACTACAATGTCCAGAAGGACATCAACAGACCAATGTGCAATAAGTATATGCTAAGTGATTTCTATTAATATGAAATAGGACTAGACCATGGTAGGTATAGTAAGTGATTTCTATTAATATGATCTATCTTCCGCATACACAAAAAAACAATGTTCAATGCTCAGATGCCAATAGGAAGATAAGATCCATGACAATCTAGTTTCTTGTATTTTGCATCATATAATTTTAGTTTTTTATTTTTTTAAAAGAAAAAGACTAACTAGATTCTTGTGCTTGCTTACTTGCTTTGTTTACCTTGTGATTTGCATGATATCTCTAATTTGCATGGGTTGTATCAACAAAATCCAAAATTTGATCCAGGTTATGGCACTCCTCAGGCTATACATACACTTCTCGCTTCCACGGAAAGATCTCCTATTACCCTCACCTCAAATAATCCTCATGATACACAAAGGGGTCAATGTCACATGTACAGTTTTATTCAAGCTGCAAGTAGCAATTGTTTACTCCTCATATTTATCAACCTCAGTATTTTGCTGAACAAATATAAATAGATCCTCTGGAAGATGTGATACAAATGTTGATAAATAAGGAAATCTTTTAGCCAAATCTACTAGTGTAATAGATACCTTAGTTCCAACTTTATATGTAATTTTTTCATGAAAATGAAGACCTGGCAGAATGTTTGCATCCCCCTGCATTGCTTTTCTTTCAACCTCCATGTGAACCTGATATAAACCCCAGAGCAACCACAATAATTTTAATGAAGCAAGAAAATGTAAATATGGAACAGATAAGAGTGCTTTTAACCAAGAAGCAGCATACGAGGAAGATGAGGAGGAGAAAATTTTTGATTTAATAAGATGTAATTTAACCAATTTAAGGAATATGTAGGTTATCGGTCATCAACCATTTCAATCATCTAATCTATGCTCAAAGGAGAAAAACAACAAATAGGAAAATCCAGTCACATCAAAAGCCTTCAATAGAAAAATACCCGCTCTCTTATTGTAGCTAACAACCCATCATTCCATTGCTCACCATCTAAACAAATTTCTACAAAATAAACAACTTTTTATTAAAGAAGCAATATATCACACTTAATCATATGCAATGGGTGCTCAAAAAAATCAAAATTAAAAATCAAAGAAAGAGTGAGAGTTTGCAAGAGCTACACTAGTTAAACGGTAATGCAACAACTAGACTGCCAAATCTGTTTATGCATCCGCGTGAAGTGTCCTCTAAATACCATACTTTAAAAACCAGTATAGCTCATGCACTACAGGCATCAAGCACACTCCAAAAAAAGGTGACCACAGCTATGCATAAGACAGAAAATCTGATAGGCAGGAAGCTGTTTCTTATTAACACAAGCATTCAACATTATAGTAAAGCAGTACTAAAAAAATAAGTTTAAATCAAAAAGTAAAACCTGAAGCACTTGAGCAGCATATCTCTGAGCTGCTGCATCTTGCTCAGCAAATCTGTGAGCATCTTCTGTTACCCTTTGTTCTTGCTCTACCCTCATCAAAACCTATCAGATAAGTCATAATCAATATATTATTAGAAATCTTTATCACATAAGAGAGAACAAGAACCAATTTTTTACATATTTAATTGTCAAACATAAAGCAATGCAAAACCTGAAGCATGACATTTTCTTGTTCTTGCTTATCAGCAAGGGCATGTCGAAGCTCAGCAACCTCTCGCTCCAATTGTTCAACCTGAAGCTCATAAGCAAATAGTTAATATGAAAAATATTTTATTTAACATTTTAAACTATGTAGAAGAATAAATAAGAACTCAACCACTAAACAAGCATCTTGCTTACAAAAATTTTAATAACTACATCAAACAATTTTAGCAGATTTCGAGTAGAAAAAGGTGAAAAACTTAGTAGGAATTCCCTACCTCTCTCTCTTTCCTCTTTGATTCAAAAACCACAAAATATGATCAGGAAAAAGAAATCAAAATACACCACAAAGAAAGTGAGGAATTTTGGCTGAATTCAATGAGTTATGGGAAAATAATTAAACAAATTAAGAAAACCCACAGTGGAATGGAAATGCAGGGCCAGGCACAAGCTAACAGAGGAGTTGTGATCAACATGGAATCATTCAGTGGAATGGAAATGCAGGTTTACATTGGAAAACATCCTTATGTAGATGTCTATGGTGGAAAATTGTGGATTAATATCCTGCATGAAAGCCTGAAACATGGGTTAGCATCGAAGTCTTGGACAGATTACCTACATCTCACAATTGGCGGTACTTTGTCAAATGCAGGGATTAGTGGGCAGGCCTTCCGTCATGGTCTTCAGATCAGTAATGTCCACCAGTTGGAAGCAGTTACAGGTTTGTACCCAAAAAATAAATAAATAAATAAATTTGTAACAAGACAGGATCGCATGTTCATAAATTGCATTGGCCTGCTTGGTGCAATTTATTAACTCTTTTAATTTTGAGAATCTGTGCCACTGTGCCTAGTGCAATCTATCAAAAAGTTGAGGAAATGATGTTTTTAACTTCTGCTTATTGATTATCAACTTTCAATACAAAAAATAGAGATAATTACACTAAGATCCCCTCAACTATTTGGAGAAATCAGCTTACCCCTCATCTATGAACATGTACATTTTGATCCCTTCAACTATAAAATGTATCACTTTCACCCCCTCTAGACCACCTTTTAGAAGGGGGCAATTGAACGATTTTTATAGTTAAGAGGTCAATATGTAAGAGTTCATAGATGATGAGGATTAAGATGATGTTCACTAATAGTTTACGGGATCTTGGAATAATTAACCATAAAAAATACTGCACCAAACAGGCTCATTACGCAATTTGAGAACTAGATCAACACATGACACATGTAAGATTAAGATGGAAAAACCATACAACAACTTCAACTTTAACTTTGTTCCACCTGTTTTCCATTCATTAAAAACTGGACTAGGAAGTTTCCAGTTTTCCTCATCATATTGTCCGAGAATCAGACCTTGTTTTCATAAAAGATACATAACCATTGGTCACTGAACAGCAGTTCATCACATTCTTAGAATTTGTATTTGCATTCAAAATTTACTGAAATTGTGTAGGAAAAGGGGAGGTAGTAAATTGTTCAGAGAAGCAGAATGCAAACCTCTTTCATGGTGTCCTTGGAGGACTTGGCCAGTTTGGCATAATCACACGAGCAAGAATTTCTCTAGAACCAGCACCAAAAATGGTAAAAACGCACATATATTTGTAAACTTCAAAATAAGCTCCAGTATAGTAGAATTTACCAGTTTCATAACACCATGCCATTCCAAACAGGTAAAATGGATAAGAGTTTTGTACTCAGACTTCTCCGCATTCATCAGAGACTAGGAGCATTTAATATCTGCAGAGAACACGTTCAATTACATTGAAGGATTTGTGATAATAAACAAGACAGGTCTCCTGAATAATTGGAGATCATCATTCAATCTGCAAGACCCAGTTCAAGCCAACCAATTTTAATTAGATGGAAGAACACTTTACTGTCTTGAATTGGCCAAAAATATCAACCTAGAAAAAGATGATATAATATACCAGGTGAGGCATGTCATGACCCACCAATCCTCCACTATAGTTAATAAAGAAGCAAATAAACCCAATGGCTCTAATACCTACTTGCTTGCTTGGTGCAGGAAATTGAGAACTTATCCCAACTAAGCTATATCTCATCAACACTTTTCGTATTAGAAGTTTCATATGTAGAATTCTTGGATAGAGTTCATGTGTTCGAGATCAAAAGGCTTGTGGGAAGTTCCACACTCATGGCTCAATCTATTCGTTCCTAGAAGCAAAATACACAATTTTTGCTGAAGAAGTTTTTGGCAACATTCTAACAGATACAAGCAATGGAGGATATAGGGTAATAAACTATCCTGGCCAATTAGATTTATAGGGTAATAAACTATCCTGGCAACATTCTATTAGAAAGAAAAAAACATTGAACAATTAGATTTATAGGGTAATAAACTATCCTGGCCATAAAATCTAGAAATAATACATGTATATATACACATGTTTTATATAAGCACATGTTCTTTAGAAAGAATAAAGTGAAGGCAACACATCTATAGAAAGAGGTCCAAAAACAAAATACCTTCAAGCTTCCAGCTATGCAATCGAGGTTATCTTCTGGATGTAAGTAGATGTAAATAATAATTACAAATCTTTATGCCAACAGTTTAAATATAAATTGTCATAGCCCTACAGCTCTCCAAACAAGTTCATCTACTTCCAAAAATAGAAAAAAAAAATATATATATATATATATATAGAGTACAAACCAATAAACCAACTTCAATAAAACATACCAAAATACCCCACACCCTATGAGAAGCAGCAGAGTCCACACCCTGGGGATCATCAATGAATAGTTCCAGAGATTTTTAGCTACAACAAAAATGTATCTCGGAACATTGTTTGTGACAACACAAACACCATAAAACAATAAAAACTACAAAGAATGCTAACAACCAAGGCACTAACTCTCCACTAGGTACAACTTGCAAAATCAATTTCAGTATATAAACAAAAAGATAATTTCTGATCTAAAATTAATCATCTAATTGTCTCAAATCAATTAGGATGTAATAAATAATTTTAGACCCAACCACACTAAATAACTAATTCACTAGGATGCAACAATCATCCTATGACACAACCACACTGAATAATTAACTAAGTTGCATAAAAAACACACCCACACAGGATAAAATCTGTCTTCTTCTTCAAAGAACAGAATGAAACCAAAGCAAAATTCAACTCTTTCTCTCTCTCTCTCTCTCACTCTCTCTCGGTTTTCTTCCTCAAATCTTCATCATTTTCTTTCATTTTCGTTTCATTGTACTCACAAGATCAATGTCTTTCACTTTCTTAACTCAAAAATAAAGTAAACCCAAATATATTTAAGAAATTTCTGTTCAAATAAAATATCAAATTTTTTTATTCTGTAATTTTTTTTTCCCCCAAATCTTTGTTCAATATGAGGAAACGAAGCACAAATCACCAGAATTGAATCCCTGTTTTATAAATCTAATCCCTAAGTAGAGCATTGATGGCTAACAATTAACTACCAAGAAAAACCCCAAAAATACATATAAACTTGAAAACCCAAATGATAAATCAAAGCTTTTAAATCGCTCAATAAAGAAAACAATTCCAAATTTATTACCAAATCAACAATAAAGCCAGATTATAAGCTAAAAAAATGTGCAGATTGAAACCCATAAATTTTTTGAAACAACTCAATTAAATCGATGCACTACAAGGAAAAAATAGAGAAAAAAGAACCTGGGTTTGATGCAGAAAGTGGAGCCCTATTTATACAGGAAAGGCCGACGGTAGTGTAGTCGTTGAAGGTGCAGTAGCAAGGGAAAAAGCTATGGCGGAGAGGTATTACGTGTGTGTTTTGAGAGAGGGAGAGAGAGAGTGAGAGAGAGAGTGAGAGTTGATAAACAGAGAAAGGGCAAAAAAAAATTAATACCCTATTTTGAGAGAGAGAGAGAGAGAGAGAGAGAGAGAGAGAGAGGGGGGAAAGAGAAAAAGAAAAAAACCGATCTGAATCGATTTTGAGAGAGTTAATTTTTAGACACACCTAATATAAATATACTTAAAAAGTATAATATATGTGAAAAAAATATTTAAAAAATACACTAAATATCAAAAAAATATAAAAAATATATGAAAATTCATTACATTTTTCATATTTTTGTGTATTTATTAATTTTTTCAAATATTTTTTCACAAATATTTTTCTATTTAGATACATCTAAATAAGGTGTATCTAAAAACGTAAAAAAAATTACTTAAAATTTAAAAAATATTAACTAAAAACTAAAAAATACGAAAAACAAAACACACCGTTTTTAGAAAACTGAAACCAAACGCACTAATATTTTCTTTTTTTTTTTTATTGCTGCTCAATACATTAAAATTTTTCTACCAAAATTGGTGACAACATTATTTTCTCACCAAAAGATCTCAAAAATATTTGGTGACGAAACTTATTTTTTTTCTCACCTAAAAGTAAGTATTTATTGACGAAAATAAATTTTGTCACCTATTATTTTTATATTTCTATTATACGTGACAAAATTTATAATTCCTCATGAATTATTCTTATTTAGTGACGAAATTTGTTTTCTTCACTAATTTTCGTCACCATACCAATACAGAGAATAAGAGAAAGAGACACCAGAAAAAGAGCAAAGAGAAACCATGTACTAAATCACCGAGTGAAGATGTGGCGGTTACCGGCAAGGCTACTAGTGGTGGCGACGATCGGCAAGGCTAATAGAGGCGACAATGGCGATCGGCATGGTGGAGGAGCAACAAGTAAGACAAATTAATACCCTATTTTGAGAGAGAGAGAGAGAGAGAGAGAGAGAGAGAGAGATAGAGATGATAAACAGAAAAGGGGTAAAAAAAATTAATACCCTATGTTTTTTTAATTGCCGCTCAATATATCAAAAATTTCCCACCAAAATTGGTGACAATATTATTTCCTCACCAAAAGATATCAAAAATATTAAAACGTTTTGGTGACGAAAATATATTCCTCACAAATAATTTTATAATTAGTGACAAATTTTTTTCTCACCAAAAGTCCCAAAATTTTGGCGCCACAAAAAAAAAAAAGTAGCGGGAAAATTTTTGGTGACGAAACTTAATTTTTCCTCACTTAAAATGAAGTATTTGTTGACGAAAATAAATTTTATCATCTATCATTTTCATTTTTTTATTATATGTGACAAAATTTATAAATTCCTCACGAATTATTTTTATTTAGTGACGAATCTTATTTTCTTCACTAGTTTTCGTCACCAAACCAATACTTTCGAC